GACCCAACCAAAAGATGACTGTGGCTAAATGCTATATAAGAATACAAAACAACTCAATTTTGGCTGTATTAGATTTTGGGGCGGCAGTCAGCATTATTTTAAAAAAGTTAGCACAAAATTTAAACCTTGAAATTACCAAACCATCCAATACAGTGGTAACTATCACAAATAGTACCCGTCAACATGCTCTGAGAAGAATACCTGATATAAAACTAGCCATCAGAAGCTTAATAGTACCTACTAACTTCCAAGTTCTAGAAAATCCTAAAAAAGTAATACTTCTAGAGATGGACTAAATCCAGAAAGTTCACACCCAGGTTCACTTCGATGAAAGAAAACTATTTCTTATATATCTTGGTAGGCAAATAGAAGTATCTATTTATTAAGCAAAAGAAGACCTATTAGTAGAGCCCCAAGAAACCTTTAGCGATGGAAACAATTTCTTCAATCAATATGAATCTGAAGAGATTGAAGAAGTAGAAAGTTTCCATACTGACGAGGCTATGACTAACGAAGAGGACTTGCCTATTACTCCATTGGAGAATAAATATAGTCCAGCTATTTATCTGACTAGTATTGAAAAAGTTCTAACTTTTGAGGAAAGTAAAAAAACTAAGTCGATCTCTGAAAAAATTATTAATGAATTAGTGCAAGTAGAAACTCTAAATTAAGAACAAGTAAAAGAAGCAACACTTATCTTAAAGGAGTTTAGTAAATTATTTGCAACTGGGCTAGATATGTTAGAATATGCGACTGAAGTGCAATATGAAATAGACACTAGAGACGCAAGACCAATCAAGCAAGCCGTTTATTGAATTGTCACTGACGAACAAGAATTCCTAAATACAGAAATAAAAAAGCTGTTAAATAATGGCTTAATTTATGAAATCAAGAGCCTCTAAACTTTCCTGATTGTGATAGTAACTAAGAAAAAAGAAAAACTTAGACTATGTGTAGACTATCGTAAACTGAATGCCATCACGAAAAAGAATGCATATCTCTTATCTAGGATCGATAACTTGCTAGAACTGTTCTAAAAATCGAACTGGTTCTCTAGCCTGAACTTGGCCAGTGGTTACTGGCAAATTGGAGTAAAGTCAGAGGACCAAGAAAAGATGGCTTTTGTCACTAAGCAAGAGGTTTATACCTTTAAAGTCATGCTATTTGGCCTTGCAATACTTCTGCAACTTTTTAGCGAACTATAAACCACGTTTTGGATGAATTTCTGAGTCAATTTGTCACAATATATCTAGACGATATTATTATATATTCACTAACATACCAGGATCATCTAAACCATATCCAAAGGGTCATTGTAAAAATTAGGAATGCCGGATTGAAGCTTAATTCAGAAAAATGCACTATGTTCAGGTCCAATATTCAGTTTCTTGGACATGTGGTTGGAAGAGACAGAATTAAGTCAGATCCAGAAAAAATCATAAAATTTAAAAATTTCTCTACACCAAACAACCTAAGGCAGCTGAGGGGCTTTATTGGGCTTGCGTTATATTATCGTCACTTCATAAAAGGATTTGTGACCGTAGCTAAATCTTTACCTAAATTCTTGGAAAAAGGTGTCAAATACGAGTGAAATAAGCCACAAGAACAAGCATTTCAAATATTGAAAACTCACTTAATAACTGCCTCAGTTTTAAGATACCTGGATTTTTCAAAGACCTTTTTTCTCTATGCTGATGTATTTGGGATTGGGCTTGGTGTTGTATTAGCACAGAAAGAAGAAGATAAGAGAGAATACGCTATTGCTTATGCAAGTAAAAGTTTGACCAGACCAGAATGAAATTATGCAGCAACAGAGCTTGAATGCTATGCTGTAATTTGGGCTATAGAATACTACTATTATTATTTGAGCTATAAACTATTCATAATTGTAACTGATCATGCTGTGTTAAAATAGTTACAGACTACAACACCTAAAGATTGTAGAGCCAGGTAGATTTTGCGGCTCCAGCCCTATAATTTTACTATAGTTTATAGAGTAGGGTATAAACATAATAATATTGACGCTCTTTCAAAAATGATTGTAAATAAAGAAAAAAAGGATACAATGGATGATGGCAAAAAAATTCCAGAAGCTCAAACCATTGAAGCTGAAGAAGTAGTTGAAGTCGTTCATACTATTTCTGAATATTATTTCCCAGAAGAAATTGAGAAAGAGCCCAATTGGATAGACTTGCCTCCTAAGATCAGAAGTGTCAATGTTGAATATAATGAGTTGACCAAGGAAACCTAGATAACTATTTTGAACAAAGAAGATGTTGTGAAGAAATAATCTAACAACTAAATAACGAATTTTATTAGAGAACCATTAAAACTTACCAGAACAGATATCTAAGTACAAGTGGAAGTGAAGTTAGTAGTGATATGAGTGACCCAATAGACATTAACGAAACATATTTAATTAACTCACATATGGGCGAATTTTCATAATTTAAATATATCACCTAAATTTGAATGTGATCTTTGTGATATTTAAAAATAGATTAACTAATAAAATTGTTAAACAAAAATCACGAGGATCTGTATGACCAATCACATTAATTAAAAAATTGAATATATAGTACAAGTAATATTACAGTATTAATGAAACTTCACAAAAATATTTACAAGGCAACATATTATTGTTACATACTTTCGATTTATAATTTGAGTTAAACAACTGTTTATATTATTTAGTATTTAATCCAAATATACGTATCTATCTAATAATTCT